GCTGATTGAAACAGCTGTAATGGGGTCATCAGGGCATAAGAGAGTAGTCACTGGGTTGAAATAAAGCCTCCTATTTACACCTGTTCAGTAGAAGCTATAGACAGGAAGTTGCTGAAGCAGGCATTCCCTCTGAAACATGTGTTTCACATATATCATAATTATCTTCTGCTCTCAAGTAAAAATCCATTTTTCTTTTAGACTTTCATCTCCATCTCATTTCCCCTGTTTCCTCTCATTTTCTTATCTCTAAGTTTCTTTCTCCACAATTAATGAGAACCTTGGCACACTTCACTCCAGTTATTCTTTGTCTGTGCAACTTGCTTCTCTGCTGCATGGCTCTTATGGTTTGTAATCATTGGCTCATTTGTATAGCTCAGTGGTTAGGAATACAGTTTAGAGTTAGAATGCCTGGGTTGAAACACTTAATTCTACTCTACTTACTAGCCTTGTGACCTATAACAAAATCCTTAGACTCTCTGTGTCTGTAAAATGGAGAGTATAGTAAATACATGGGCTTGTTTTAAGGATTAAATGAGTTAACATGTGAAATACTTAGAACAATGTCTGGCAAATGCTCAGTGAATATTGGCTATTGCTTGCTTTTGTTTAGTGCCTGTTCTTCCCATTGAGGGTACAGAGCATATGTATCTGGATAACAGTTCTATGTCCACCACATTGCAATAATGGACTCTCAGAAAATATTGAAGAATCTGTTAAAGAATGAATAGAATTATCCTAGTGAAAAGGGTGGGTGGGAGGTTGTTAGGGGAAAGTACACAGATAGCACTGGAAGCAGCACGTATGGGGAGTGAGTCACACAGTGTTTCTTGGTACTCTCTAGACTATAGTGGGCCACCTCTTAGCTAGTGGTCTATGGATTATTTCAGCAATTTGTTGGAAACAGCCATGGATATGATAATAATGACCTATTTGTGGGTTCTAAGAAAAAGGACAACTACAGTACTAGAAAATGATCATATGTAAGTCAAGAGGGGAGATGATTATTTGGTTTAAACTGTTCTAAAATTCTTATTTAGGATAGTGGGGGCAAACATTAACTTTAGATTTTGTTACGTATGTGGTAAAATTTCAAGGTAAACCACTGAAACTATAGTAGTTGAGCATATAACTTCCAAACCATGGAGGAAATAAATGGAATAAGAAAATAAATACATAAACATAAGATTCAAACTATCCAGTGAAGAGGAGAGGGAAAAACATAGAAAGAATGAGATAATTAGAAAGCAATGGGTAATGTGTGAGAAATAAATTCAAGTACAGTAAAGCTCCACTACAATGTACCCTGCAGTAATGTTGGGACATGATTTCCCTTCATCTCCATTCTCATATGAAGTGGACTAAATAACATTTTTATCCAGTTTCCCTGGGGGTTTGAGGTGGGTGGAGAGTAATTTAGAAGACAGTCACCTTCTGATCGGTTGAGACTTTCTCAGTTTAGTCCTCAATTAATAAAAATTAATGTAAACTTTGTCAGAAGACAGAGATTGTCAGATGAAAGGACAAGCAAAATAAAGTCTTACTAACTGAAAAACAAATCTGGGGTAGCTATGTTAATATCAGCTATAGGTTAGCTATGTTAATATCAACTATGCTAATATTAATTATTATTAATAATCTATTAATAATAGTTGTAACAAATAAGATTATAATAATCTATTAATAATGGATTATATAGTAAAATCGTTAATAAAAATAGAGTGTCACCACATTTTAAAATTCACTATGAAGACATAAGATTTTTAAGCTGGTTGATAAAAGTCTGGGGAATGCAAATTATAGAATAGAATTTGTAGGATGCACCAAAGCATTTTTTTAGAGACATCCATTAATTCAGCAAATAAACGAGCACCTTCTTTGTGCCAGTCACTGGAAGAGGTGGCCTAAAGAAGAGAATAAAACAGTCAAAATCCTGGCACATTCAGAGTTTCTCTTAGGAGAAAACAGATACAAATGACATTATTACCAAGAAACTTGTGAAACAAACCAAATATTAATGATCAATATTTAAGACTATAATATGTTAATTTTAAGATTGAAAATGAGGTACAAGGATTTCTTAAAACTCAAAGGCTCAGTCACTGAGAGTTAGATTTTTTACAATCACTGTTAATTTTTCTAACTTGTAGGAAATTGATAGCATGTTTAGAATATGTTTCAAGGCTACATTCAAATGTTGCAACAGAACATTAAGAATTATCTTCTTGATCCACTAAGTGCAGGAAAAGAAAATGGGTAATGAATCCATTCATTACCACCTTTCAGCATTTTATCTTTCAGTTTTTGTGTTCTGTAGCTCATTGACAGAGTTTGACAGAGTGCTGAAAGTAGTCTTTAGTGAGCTGGCTGTAATTTTGGGGTCCATTTTTATCTAAATAATTAAAACTATCTGACAGGGCCATATGCTTGCTACCATTTCCAATAACCTATACTTGCAAATGGGGTTTTTAATTTAATAAGAATATTAAGTTAGAAAAGAAACTGTCATTCTGTGAAGTGGCCAGTAATGTTAGTTTTATTGATCAATTTAGTTTCGTTCTTTGATCATTTTCCAACATTTTCAGCATTGATGCAGATGGGACAATGACAGTGGACTGGAATGAATGGAGAGACTACTTCTTATTTAATCCCATTACAGACATTGAGGAAATTATCCGTTTCTGGAAACATTCCACAGTAAGTATACTTCATGTATTTATGCTTATTTGGAGCTATAAACCATAGGTACAGTTGTCACCAAGAACACTCTGTAACACTTACCGGCCAGGATACCTGAGTCCCAGTAGCTCCTTAACCTGTAGTGTTCTATTTATCCTATTAGGCATAGATTTATAGAGTATTAAAAACAAAAACAACAACAACCCAAGACTGCATACGTGTTCATCCTGAAAACTTGGGAGAAGTACCATCTTGATGAATAAGCTGTCTAGCTTTTATTGGCATTTAAGTTTCTGCCATAGGGAAGTGTAAAAGTTGTAGGCTTTTGCTATTTATAGATACTATATTACCCAAATAATCTCAGCACCTCATGGTTGCTGAGAATCTGTTACCTTGTTTGGTTAGATTGCCTAGGTTTATCTCTGGCATACGGCATTTAAAATAATCATTAAAGGTTACAGAATCATTTTGCTTCATCTGCCTAGCTTAGATGGCATTTCATACCAGTTTGTTTTCTACAAAACTTTCAAATTTTTATTGTTTCATTAATATTCTGCATAGTGATGTAAACCAAGTTCTATTATTGTGCAATCTACTTCTGAACCCATTGGGAACTCTCTGAAGGAAGTTTACTTTTTTTCCCCTTAATAGGCTTATCTTCAACACTTATTCATGGATTTTGCTAAATTAAATATGCATTAAATGAAGCAGTTCACATTGCCACTAGTAACAATACCTAAGCTTACATAAAACATTAGAAAATTGTTGGTGATTAGTGCCGTCTCAGCTATGAGAATAGAATAATACTATACTAGTAGTTCAGTTGCCACGATAAATTTTACACTATGTGAAGTTTTATTCACATGATTCTTACTGTATTTTTTAAGGTAGTTGATAACAGTTGAGGCTACAGTCGTATCTTCATTTTATTGATAGTAAAATGAAGGAAGAGATGGTTACTACCATAGGATAGCTCC